TTTATATTCTGTAACTTTATTGCAATATTTTTTTCCCGCTTGGCCCAGCCACTTAGCTCGATTAGCCTTAACTATTTCTAAGTGGCTGTGCTCTGTTTTTCATGGTTATTTTTTCACATTGCATGTATTTATTTTTATTGTAAAATTTTTCTGGGCACGAAATAAAGATAGTTGTTGTTGTTGTTGTATTGAGAATGGACAGCCATGTGGTTTGTGGTTCACCATCTGCCGGTGACAGCGCCTCTTTTTATTCAAAACGAAAAGCTTCTTACCGACCAACAACGACTGAACGAACAAAGAAGTCAAATCACTTATAACCTGCACCCAGAAAGCGCTATCGTCAGCTCACGAAACGATAAACTGTATAACTGTTACCCACCAAGACAGACGGACATCGCGCTTTGTTTCAGAAAGTATCGAATGCTATGTCATCAAAAATACACGTGAATTTAATAACAGATATGTCATTTTCCTTACAAACAAAGTAACATTTTTCTTATTCGGCGTCTAGAAGTTATAATAATAATTCGATCTTCAAAACCTAAGTCGGTAATTTGGAGTAATATTAATCATCTTCTTAGAGAAAAGCGAGTAGAAATTCACTAGCAGAAAAATCAGTTTGACGCTACTTGTGTTCACTTGAGCTTTTATTTGACGCAAAAGCTCCGACTAGTGGAAGCTCTGGTCGTGTCTCTGGTTATAACAAAGACACTCCAATATAATACTCGTATTTGGCGTTTACTTGGGTATATCTTCAGAATTTTCCAATAGACAAAAAAGAAAAGCATTTTAACACTGCGTTAAACAAAACATTTTGAACTGCACAAACGCTGAGTTTATATATTTTCAAATCATCAATAATTCATCAAGTTTAAACAAAGGAAGTCGAGACCGTGATCTGATCTCAATTAGCATAGATTTTTAGGAAGTTAATTCTCCGTTTTCTCCTTAGTTTTATTTTCGATTGTGAGGATGTATCAAATACGAAAGACCGTGTTTGACAACATTTCCAATTACCCCGAAGATCGCCAAAAATACTTCGCTACGCGTCGTATTCACAACTCTCTTTTCGGTGTTTGAAAATGTGGTCAAACACGGTCTTTCGTGTTTGACATATAACATGAACGTTGCATTGGGTTGAATAAAGTAGTACCACTATTAAGCTTCTAACACGGACATAATTTTCATCACCACAAAAGTAGAAAAAACTTTGTTGAAAACTGGTTTTCCTGAGAGAAATTCTTCCCCTCGTAAGACTTGAAGTACATGCTGGCCGTACCTACCGTCAGTACAATTGACTCCTTCAAATCTGGTTCCGTTACAGTCACACCATACACTGCTTACACTATCACGACAAATTCCACCGTTCTCACATTTATCTGTTTGCGAGCAAGGATCCAAACAGCCCTCCGATGTCCCTGAAGTGTTTTGCAGCTGGGCTTCTCTCAAAGGTCTTACTCCATTGCTGTGCATTATTCCACTTATACAGCCATCAAAACTAAAACACAACCCGTGAAAATGTTATTAGTATAAAATGTGCGTTGGTTGGCCAACTTTGTTCAGCAATGAAATTCCACGCAAGGGTAATGTATTATTCATCAGAGAGGCTGGATTTCAGTTCCAAAAATAAATTATTTATGTGTATTTTTCTGCGGAATGAATTTATTAATTCCTTTCTTACGAGTAAAATGGTAAGTCCTGCTTCAAAAGCAAAAAAGCGATGCCCTCAATTGAGTTCATGGCGCATGGGGTTAAAGCGATCTGTAGCGACTTTTAAACGAGGTTATTAGTGTTAATAAAATCTCGACCTTTCGTCTTACAATGAACCTAAAAAAAAGAACACAAGAACTGTAAAATAATTGATTTCACTATGTTCGCAGTTTCGGAATGTTCTGAAGCAGCTGCAATTCGCCATGCAGCCATTAATTCATCTTATTTATCTTAATCATGGGCCTGTGTATTCATCACAACAGCATTACTGTGAATAAAAATGGTCAAATCATTTCATTCACAGGTGCACGTACCACACATCAAGAGGAAAATCAAAGCTTACGGAAAAACAAAGAAAAATTAACACTAACTAGCCTTCGCTTAAAAGTGGAAACTCGCGCCGTCTTACCTGTTAAAATGTATGCTTTCGTATTTAATAGCTGGAAAGGAGAGATCATTGAATGGCTTATACCACGGAATTCCACCAACAAACAAATCGCTTTGAACTCCAAGAGTCTGTCTGCCTCTTCCTTTGTATTCCGTACTGTTAGTCCAACTGTCCACTGTAATTGTTGTGGACTTGTAATTTCGTTGGACAGTTACTTTGTGCCAGTTTCCGTCCGCCAGATTATGACCGACGAGTAGTGTTTGCGTTTCATCGCAGTTACCCATTTTAAGGCGCAATCTAAGCCGCCCGTCCGCCAAAGACAAATAAATGTATTGGCACTGTCCTTTGTCGTCTTCGTAAACCAGGAAACCATTTTTGTTATCCGTCTTGAAATGAAATGTTAAATTTCCGTTTGTTTTGGCGTTCCATCCCTTGAAAACAGCAAAGGCCGTTGGGTCTTTTGAGAACCGAAGACCGGTCCTCGCCGAAAGAGAACCGGCAATAAAACTGAGCTGGAGAATTATCACAACTCCTATCATTTCACTTACGTTCCGCCCAACAAAGGCTCCATGTTAACTGTACAGCGCAACGTGGGGAAAAACGCGCGTGCTTCACGCCAGACTTGAAAGAAATTCACTCTAAACTACATAACTGACCAGACGTGCAAAAGGCCAAGTTAACCAAATCGAACTTTCAAGGCGGCAGTGCGTCACTGCGAGCCAACATTGCTTATCTTGTTTGTGATTGGCTAATCGAGTGATCTTATCCAACGTACTACTTATCTCCATACCGTTGCGGCGGGAGATCAGTTCAGTAAGCCGCCCGTTTGTAAAATGTATTGAATGAGTACCAGCACTCTGAATTACGTCACCATTTGCACAACTTGGAACAATTTTTTACGCACGTCCTGGCGAACTTTTTTTTTGTACGTCAGGGTTTGCATGCTAAATTTAATGATTTCCTAACCGGATCTTAATTTTAATGTTTCCAATGGGTGTGCAAATGAATGTGCAAGTTTCGTGCGATTCCTTTGTGTTGATAACCAAAATTCCAACCAGAATCACCGTGAATAAGATAAAAATAACTAGAGCAACCCTCCGCGATGATGTGCAAAGTTAAATGGTTACTACAAATCAAAATATCAACAGAACTCAAAATGAATTTCAGCGTAGTAGTCGAGTATCAAAATTTAAACTACAACTATGTCACTTTAAAAATAACAAAGAGAAATATAGAGTGAAAATTTTACTCTATAATTTAATTTCTGGCTCGTGGATCACTAAAAATTTCATGACATGGAATTTCAAAGCGACAGCGTCAAGTTCTTGGCTTTTAGCTTGACAACTTCGGGAATAAATTAAACTCCAAATAGCGTGAAATAAAAGAGATTGGATGTTAATTTTTATCGTCAATATTCTATTTATCATACAAAATCGAACAGAAGAATTAAGTTCAGAGAGCATCACTTAAAATACAACATGTAGGGTACCAGTTTCAAACCTTTCTTCACAACTGAAGATCCCTAATTGACTTTTTCACATTGAAGGAGCCAGTAAAAGTTATAAAAGCACTTCGGTTTTGCAAAAAATTATACGCAAACAGCGACACAGAATGTAACGGTCGATCGCTTTCATGTAAAAGTATCACGCAGAAATGTTTCCTTGTCTCCTCCGCAGACGTCAGAAGTCCCAGTTGCAGGAATTTATTCTCTTCTCAGTCTCCTTTATCTCGATAGCGTTTACAAAGGAAGCCTCGACAGAGAGACATTTCTAAGTTGCCTTGTGCCTCAGTGTCAAAACGAGTCTTTGCGAGAAACCTTTCATACGAAAATGTGCTCCGCCTACAGGTTCATTTTCCTGTAACAACAACAACAACAACCCTTATTTACACACGATTTAGTTTAAAGCAATAGGTTTGCTTGTGGGGTCGAGTTTACACTAAAAACAGAAATATGTGCAATAATAATATGATAATTCTACAATTCTAACAATGCAAGCAAACTCATTTTGATATGAAAGGTTTTGCACGGACTCGTTTTGAAACAGAGGCACAAGGTAAGCATTGATCTGCAGACCCAAAATGACGTCGTAACACATTATCCTATGTCTTCCTAAAGCTAGCCCCTCTTTCATTTTGTGTTACTAAGGCTCCTGCTGTTGTTTCATGTAAAACAGGCCAAAAATGTAGCCGTTATGCGTACTGAGATTGGAAATTTTCACCAGTTGGCTGTAAAAGATGTTTACTGTAAAAAAATTTTAGCCATGAAAGTGAAAGTCCCAAGAACTCTTGCAAATCCCTTTTTGGGTCTTGTTTTGTTGTTTTGTAGTATAGGGAAAAGCCAGGAGACGTTTCTTATAATAATAACTTTTTCCATCCCGAAATGGTCTTAAATACGTTTTACGGTAATCAAGCTAATTTTTTAACTTTCTTAAATTTCAACTCAGTTTAAAACATTGCTAGTTAAGACTTAATCCGATAGGAAATCGAGCAATTTCAATTTTTAGTGGACAAAAACCTTGTTTGCAATACAACGTAAATAATATAGTAAATGGTTTGTAAATAATGTTGGTACTAAAAAGTACTAAGTTTTTGTTCTCTTGGTTTTTGTCCACTAGTTACTTGAACTTCTGGAGGATTCCCTCTTAATTTCTAAGATTTCTGTTAACCGTAAGGGAAATGAATTAACCGTTGGCCCTAAAAAAGCCAAAAATTAATATGAACCATTAGCCGTGAAAGTCACCCCCCCCCCCCTCCCCCCCATTGAGACCCTCTTCACTCTCTTTTATCTTTTTGTTGGGGAAAATATAACACCGCCCCTTTAAAAGTTGGCGGCAAGACAATACCCTACCACAATGCTTTGCGCCATGTGTCCTGCAAGTGAGGCAACGTAAACATGGCGGACGATACGCGGGTAAGACACAGAATACAACTATAAAACTATTAATGTTGAAGATCCAGTTTATTGACGGGGCCTTTTTATGATATTTTCAGGTTATTTGCTGCAATCTTGCCATCGCCCTTCCGTTATTTTTCCTTGTTTACTACATGACAGCGGCAGTACTAAGTGGTGCTTTCAAGTAAGTCAATCTTATTTATGTCTGGTGTGATTTTGGCAGTTGCTATGTTAAGTTTATCATCAAAGTCAGCAGAGTAAAGTCTGTTTGTTTTCTTTAAACATCGTATGTCAATATTATGGCTCTATGACAATCGCTTTAATAGTTTATAGACTGATTCCTCAGTTATAAAGCAGCATGATTTCTATTGGGAGGTTCAGATGTCTAACAATATTTGTTTGTGAATGAATAGAATCAGTGATTTTGATGGCAAGACACCCTTCGATTTCAAAAACTGTTGCAGTATAGATGACAATCAGAATTTAGGTAAGTGGAAAAATATTCAATCGTGTGTTGAAAGAGCAGGATAGTGATCATGTTTCAAGTTCATGCCTTAAAATTTGGCTGGGAAAAAAATTGCAGACAAATGTATGGAAAATTAGAAAAATTAACTAAGCATCTTCTAGCCAGGCTACATCCTTCAAACTTGGTGAATACGATCTTCTACCTAGTATTTTAACATTTTGATTAACAAATTGTGTAAAATTCAATTTTGGAAAAAGTTATTTGCCATCGGATTCCCATACAAACACTGTAATTTCTGACTGCTTTGCCTACCCGTCAAGATGGTGTCAAAAACTGTGATAAGGTCTATTAGTGCGCACAACAGGGTTCTCCTCCCAGTATTCTGTAACAGAAATTGAAACTCAGAAGTGACTTTATAAGATATTGGTCTAGTTAGCTTATGTTGGACTATGATGTTATTAAGTTTATTCATAGAAAATAGCCAGGGTAAGGGTGTCATTGTCCCAGTGGCACACCCCCACCCTCAGATTAACAGAGTAGCCCCTCCCCAGAGTTAAACCAAAACATTCACAGAATAGTTCGCAAATTAACTGGTTGAAAAACTGTCCTATCTTGTAGTTAGCTTGAACAATTTTATGTTACATTCATGTAGGTCTTGTATTTGCTTTCAGTAACCCTCGTTTCTCTGTTGCTGACGTACATCATTACTACAGCAATTTTTATAATCTTTTTGAGAAAAAGAGTCTGGGATTATGCCATAACAATAGGATTTGTTCATCTTTTACTGTCCTGTGCTGGTAAGAATGTTTAAAATTTAGATATACCTCTTACTAACCAAGTTCGAGGTCCTTACTGTAAGTTATAGACTGAGTTTTTTCCCCATTGATTTATGGCCAAAGCATGAAGCACATGGGCCATAAATTGAAGGGGGAAAATGAGGATCCGTTTGGTCAAGATGGCTGGATATCGGCCAAGTCCTTTTTTTGTGAGTTTGTGGACCTCAACTCCATCTTGATCTATAAACAGGCAAAAAAGAATGAAGCCAATGTCCAGCAATCTTGTCCGGAACAAGCCTGGTCAGTAAAGGATTTATTATATGGCTTTCAGGGAAATTTTCCTTGCGGGACACAGTGGGTAGTCCTGAGCAGTCAAGATAGCCCCATGTTGACTGCTCAGGTAGCCAATCATAGTGCAGGATTTGATTGATCTTGCCAACCCAAGGAGTCAGCCGTAAAATACAGAATTAGAGTATTGCTACATACAAAAGTCTTCTACTACTGCCTTTTGGTACGTGTAACCTCCAAAAAAACTAATGTTATGATTAGTGGCTAGCCTCTCTGACCAAGAGTCAGGAAAAGACTATGGAACCGCAGTATACTTTGGGTTTCAGCCAGGGAACCCTTCAGAGACTGATCTTGATCTGGAAATTGTTGATCATCCCACTCAAACTGGCATTTCCTTATTAGTTGTTAATTTTACAAGTGAATATGCGTGAAAAGATCATATATTTGAACTGCGGAGAAAGATATCAAGACATGATAGATCATTGCAGTTATACACACAACTTAAGCAGTTGTGAGATTAAAGCCTGAAAAAAAAGTCAGGCTTGAACAGGATTCAAACCCATGACCTCTGCGATACCGGTACAGTGCTCTTAAACAGTGACCAGCTCCCAGTTGGCTTGATAGCTCAGTTGGTAGAGCACTGCACCGGTATCGCAGAGGTCATGGGTTTGAAGCCCGTTCAGGCCTGAATTTTTTTCAGGCCTCAATCTCACAACTGCTTAAGTTGTGTGTATAACTGCAATGATCTTTCATGTCTTCAGTTGTTAATTTTGTTAATTGATATAATTATAAAATATATTATTGATTTCAGTTATGCAGTCCTTCCCGACAAATTGGCAATGGTGGATTGCCTTTTGTAAGTTTGCCAACACTGTTGTTTTCAAGATGTTTTAACTTTCTTTGATTTCATCAGAATTGAAATCAACCCTAGGCAATTAACTCAAAATGTACTCTTTTGTTTTTGTTTTTTTTTTTTAAAGTATCATCTGTACTTTTCATGGCTGTGTTTGGAGAGTTGGTGATCCGATGCTGCAATATGAAAAATGGTGCTGCCAGTGTCAGTCCAGAAACAAATGTGATAACATGATAGTTTAAAAACAGTGCCATGGATGTGAGAAGATAATCTATTAATATCAAAAATTATCATTATTACTGCGCCTCTCAATAACATGCGTGCTATAAAATTCAAAGCTCAACCGACAAATGTGTTTTTCGCTACCATCAATCAAATGTTTGGCGGCTCCTCCAAGCTTCCCACTACTGCCGAGCACTGTTTCATTGTCTGGACTGTGCTCAACGATTTGATTACGGCATGCTTGGCAGTAATCGGAAGCCGGGAGGAGCTGCTGAACATTTGATTGACGGTAGTGAAAAACGCATTTGTCAGTTGAGCTTTGAATTTAATAGTACGCATGTTATTGAAAGGTGCAGTAATAAATGAAAAATTATATGCTAGCTAACAAACTAGCTAAATATTTTTTAAAAGATGGAAAGCGCTTTATTTTCTGATAAGAGCAAAAGCTAATAATAATAATATTGTAAAGTTGTCTAATAACATGACAAGAACACTTTTAAAATATTCTCAGTGTATTTAGTTTATTAGGCTTACAGTAGAGGTTATGTTATACTGCCTGACAATGTAAATAAGATTCAGTTGTAAATAACTGTAAATAAACTAATAAAAGGAATTTAGAGTTGGTATGTAGTCAAACAATCTCAGATTACTATATTCTGATCACAAATAGGTTGCTACCAGAAAGTTGTGTCACTCTAGGATTTGGCATGGCTTAAATGCTTATGAGAAAGAAAAATATTATATGATAATATAAAGGTAAATCCCTTTTGTATTATTTTAGTCAGTGATATTTGACAATGCAATATGTTTTGCTTTTTCACTATTACTGACTAGTAATTAACAGTCATTTATAGCAAGGAGTTTGGAGAGCACTCAAGAGTTGCTCTTGGCAAGTTCATCATAACTCAGCAGTGCATAGCTAAAAGCATGAACCATTTAATAACATTGCCGGTGGAAATGTATATCAAAACTCACTCCAAAAAAATCTAAAACAACATCTATTGCAACATCACCATGTGATAAACAATAATTTTGGCACGGTGACTTGCTCCTGTTATCAGCTTGCACTATTGGATAATGGTGCATGTTTACATACACTGAACTTGGTTGTGTGGTTGTACTAGCTGTGTTATGAAATTAATTTGTATTTTTTAAAACTAAGGGCTTGAGAAATTTGCCTGTTTGATCATCTTAGCTGGGCTTTCAAAATGTTTTGGTTAGCATGTTTTGTCCAGTAAGCTGTACATAAGATTTCTCTTTTCCTTTTGTGAAGATCGGATACCAGAAAGATGACATGAACACATTTTTATAGTCTAAATAAGGCTTGGAAGACAGGATGAAAGTTAGCTCAAGGAAACTACTTATCATGTGTGGATGGAATTACAATGGACATGTAATGTCTGTAACATGACCACACATTATTCTTAGTGTGATAAAGTACAATGATTTGAATCAAAACCAATTTTGTGCTGTAATATTGTTTGGTGAATTAAGCTTCCTTCGTGTAGCCGTAGATGTTCACTTTTTTTGACGGTATTATATTTTAGCTAGTCAAGGGTTTTTCTTCATCATGCCTCCTTGAGGTATGAAGAAGAGAGACCTGGGAAATTAGGCTGGAAACAAGGCTGTAGGGCAGATTTTGGTTATTTATTTTTTACAGACCAGCCTCTTTTTTAACAGTAATAAAAATGCTGGTATAGTGGGGCAGTTTTTTAGTCACTGGATATATATACAGAATTCTACAGTAACCAAGTTTCCAAGACCCTGATATTGTAACTTGCGGTGCATTTATAATAAAATCTTCGTTATCTTTCAGTTACGTAATATTAATGCCTGTGTTGTCCAATATATTGATTGTAGTAATCAGTATCTTTTTGTATTTCAATCTTCCATTCCTCTTGTCTGTCTAACACTGTTTGCCCTGTTGCACAGAGCTTTGACATGTCCCTTGTACTTGGAGAGCAACTGAATGCTATGCAGGTTATGACATAATCTTTTAATAGTCAGTTTTGTGTGTGTGAGCAATAGGATGGAGTTGACCATATAAACTATTGATAACAAGAAACAAGCATTGTTATGAGAATGATATGATTATCTAGAACCAGTATTAATAAATATTTGATTTCACTGTGGGATTTATTCCCATAACAAGAATCAAACTGAGTTCACACATTAGGAGTATCATGAAGATTGTTTTATTAGCAGCTGATTTGAATAATTTCAAAATATTTACA